CCCAAAGGCTTTGATAAACTTGTTGGTACCTGATACATGGCATCCTTTTCAAGATCATTTGTTTTTCTGTCTGAATCTGTTCCTTTGTGGTTCGTAGAGCTAACATCAAATGACAGTGTCCTTATGTAATATTATTGTTGTTATATAGAAAATTTGACGAGGTACTTGAGACAGATCCATTCCAGGTCAGGTAGAAGCTTGTGTGATTGGCTTGCTAGATGAATTTGTTCATGTAACATTAAACTGAACCTTCCTCGGTCAAGTAAGAAGATTAACTTTTAGAAATAGAAAACCAGCAATTAATTTATTTTCTTCAACAATTGTCTCTATTCTCCCAATCAGAGTCCACTTTTCGTCGGTGCTGTGTGACCATGGAGACCGTATAACTTTATTTTCTCAGTTTTGCAACTTAGCCCTACTGGCGAAGGCCCTCGAATTGTTGAATGTATCCTATGAATCATGTGCTAGCACCAAGCTTCTTCGAATTCTCGTTCTATGTTGCCATTCCCTCTGTTTAAAGCTTGCTTTGGTTTGATGGGGGTAGCGCTCCACATCGTGGCTGTGGTGCTTGGAGTACTCATAAAGGGGACCATCTTTCAGCGGGACAACATGTGGACACTCTCTTGGCTGGAGGTTTGTGAGGTGAGTCAAATAACATGTGAACTCTCTGTTTCACCAATTAGGACATCTCTGTATTCTTCTCTTTGTTTCATCCTCCGATGAAGCATATCCCAAGACATAGCTGTCAAGAATTTCATCTCAAACGAACAATGATCTTCAAGAGTGAGGAATCCAAGTCTGCTCGGGGAAGATTTTCATCGGCTCAAGAGGCCTGGTGGGTGTGGTGGTGAGGCCTTCTTATGTAATTTTTATATTTTAAAAGCATTTTAAAAAAGAATTAATTTTTTTTATTTTTTATTAATTTTAAATTAATATATTTTTAGTGTTTTTAACTTAGTTTGATATATAAATACCAAAATAATTTTTAAAAATAAAAAAATTATTAATATATATTTTAATATAAAAAATTATTTACAAAACAATTGCAACCGCAGCGTAAAAGAAGCAATGTCATACCATCTTTCTATTCTAATTTGTGGGACCGTGAAGCGAAAAAGCAGTGATTTGTGTCCCTTTGCCCGCACGAAAAAGGAAGAAGAAAAAAAAATCGAAACGACTTTAGGAATCAAATAAATTTCACTGGTCTTATTGGGCTATTACCTCCATCATTCAGAATAACTTACCACGTGTGTGTGTGTGCATGTGTGCTTGAAAGACAGAGTTTTTGTCTGGTCATTGCTTTTCCCATGACTGCTTCTTTCTACTGAAAGAGAGAATAAGATATTGAGTGGCCAAAGGCAAAAGCAAGAAATAGAAAAGGTTTTTTCTGCACCGAAGGATCTTATGGAGTTTGAGTGTGAAATCTTTGTTTTATACAATGTCATGTTTTCTTCCTTTTCCTCTCATAACACACTCTCTCTCTCTCTCTCACCCACATTTATATATAGAATATGATTTCGAGTGGTTAAGTGTTGAAGATGAGTCAGTCCACCAAAATAATGCCTGCATGATTGAGATGTCGACCTTAACTAAACGAACAAAATTCTCCTTCTGGATTTGGACCACCTTGTACACGGGTGTGTGGGGTCTATCTTCATACCTAACTGTGAACCTTTTATGTTTGTCTTTGAAAATCTTTACCATTCTTTCATTTTATCACGGTCCGATAAATCTAAAGTTAGTGTCACTAATCACATGATTATCAAAAAGTTATTAAATCCGGCACGTATCAAAACATTATTATTTTATTTTATTTTAAACAGCTAAATAAAATTGTTTTATAAATTTTTATAGAACAATTCAAACTGATCTTTGATTAAGTTGATCATATCGCATTCAAGTTGAATTTTATACACTTAGCTTGGATCAAAATAAAATTATTTTATAATTTTTATAAAAAGATTCAAACTAAATTTTGATTAAGTTGATTATATTAAATTCAAGTTGAATTTTTCACCTTTGACCTGGATTGATTAGTCCTATCAAAATACATTTAATAAATATAACTTATCTATAAAAAGCTTCTGAATCTTTTTGTTCTACGTCTTTGATCGGTGATGATGATTAATTATATAAATCCCAACATTTGGTTTGCGTGAGGTGATACGGTTGAAAGTTCATTCAAGGTGGGGTTGTCTTTCTCGGTTTCGACGAACCATACTCTTGCTTTGAGGTGGAACCTGCATTGGTCCGTGTCTTCTTCTAATTTGTAATATTCAACCTCTCTTTTCCAAGATAATCAATATTTGAGGTTTTTTTGACCTTTCCAACACAGCTTGACAAAAAATTTGAAAAACAGCACATGTTGGAAGATTATTTGAAAAATAACATAGTTATGAATATAATTGTGTTTTTTCATATTGATTCGATATACAATTGCTATTAAAAATAATAATTATTTTAAAATTCATGAAATAATTAACATATACAAAAGTTAAACCAAAATTTTATAAGATTTGATGATTGAGAAAAAAAAAAATATATCATTTGATATGGTGGGAGAGGAAAATTAAGTAAAAATAAAAGGAAATAAATAATAGGCCACCAAGACTTTACTTTCGACATCACTTGTAGAAATAAAGATCTTAAAAAGAAAATTTTAACACATCTTAAAAAACTATCAAACGAGATTATAATTGATTAGAGATTTTATTTGAGATTAATTACAATATCAGTTGGTGGTCTTCTAATATATTATTAAAATTATTTTATCAAGATTTTTTTAATGGTATCATGTTGAAAATGGAGACCTTGTGTGTTATTAGTCATCCATTTTTTTTTCTTCTCTTATTTCTTTATCCTGCCATAGCAACTTATTTAATTTTTATTTCTTGATTATTAGATCTTGAATTTCATTTTTTTATTATTAATTTTTTATAAAATTTTGAGTTGATTTTTGTATATATTAATTAATTTGTGTAAAATATGAATTTTAAAACAACAATATTCTAAAAAAATAATTATTTACAAAAAATTAATATTTAAAAAATAGTTGTGTTTAAACTTTGTTATTTATCAAATATTTTTTTAATCCGTCTCATTTTTCTAAAACTTTTACAATGTTATTATCTTTTAAAAAAAATAAAAAAATCCCAATGCTAATGATTCATCACGACAACTATTTCATCTTTTTCTTATAAATGTATCGATTTAGTGGGCAAGTAATCGAGTTTTTTCCTTTTCAATTTATTATAGAATTCTCATACTGGGTGTTGTTCTGCGTGCCATGACTAAATCCTTTTTTCCGTTTTATCTAAGATTTAAGTATATCAGTAGAATTTGAATCGACGTGTTCATTAAACATTATCTTCAATTTTATTTTTTTTCTAAATTTTAACTAAAAAAATGGTAATATAAACAGCAAACCCTTGTTCCTGTCCGAGTACAGAATTTAAACCTGACAATGCGAGAGACATGTATCGATACAGGTTGTCTTAATCATCAACTCAAGTGAGAGAAAGGAGTCAGGATTGATTTTAGGCTCGGGATTGGCTTGAGGTTAAATATAATTCGGCGATCACAAATACAGACAATGTTAGAGAAAGATAAGTAAGCCTAAAAGCCTAAAGCAGAAGGTCATGACACGTTATATGTTGTCTTGAAATGGATTGTGATCTCCACCAAATTAGCAGGAGATAATAGCGAGAAGATTGAGGAAAATCCATACAGAAAGTAACAAAACATTGTTCCTATCTCATGACTTCTCGAGAAACCAGAAGAAACAAAGGTTTAATGATTAACTACATGACTTATCTTGTTTAAATTGATACTGCTCAAGTTATAACTATTAATAGTCATCATATAGGAGAAAAAAAGATATATATATTTAAAAGGGAATTGAAAATGAATGATTTTGAAAAAGAATAAAGATATTTTTATATTATTTTTTTAACTATATATATATTAGGGTTAGTTTACACGTTTAACTATATATATATATTAGGGTTAGTTTACACGTATCTTATTTAAATTAATTTTTTAAAATTTTGAAGTTAAGAATTAGGTAATCCTTAACTCTAAAGTTATTTCTTTTTATAGTTTTAGTGAATCTAAATGTTTTTTTTTTATATTTATTTTGTTAATACCATAAGTATTGATAATTATAATTTAAATGCCATGAAATTTTCTCGTACAGGCTGACATTGACATGAAAGAAAATCTAGTAAGATTTTTCATTCCCCTGTATACTTGCGTGCAAAAAGATAATAAATAATACAGTAAGAACAAAGGGGAGAGGCATAAATGTGCTGTGTTCGTTACTCCTTCAAAGATTCCTCTCGAAACAGGAGCGCATTAATCCCTGTGCATATGAGCATGACATCTCTCTCGAGTTTCCCTCCTCGACCTCTACATTATAATTCATCTCACTGAGTTCTGTAATTATTAGAGTTTTGATATATTTTTTATATTTCATTCTTTTGTTTTTTATTTCCTCTCCTCTTGTTTGTTTATATTATCCTCTCTTTTTTTTCTAATCATTAAATTATTGTTTTTCTATGCAATTGGATCTTTATAAAACATGTATAATAACTTCGAAGAATTTAAATACTTCGAGGGGAATTAATTTGAATGAGAATGCTAGTATTTACTGGCATGGATTTAATTTGTACTGTATTAATTTAGAAATTATTTTTTCAACAATACTAGTTTAGTAAAAGAAAAAATTCCAAAGAAAAACTCTAGCAATAGCTGTTAGATTTTGACAAGCACTCATCAATTTTTTGAAAAGTATAGGTTTACATAAGTAAAATCTCAATTATTTCAAACTTTTATCAGATATATATATTCTTGTTCAAACTCAAAACTTGATATGTATATCTTAAATTTTTTACCATCATATTATACCACTTGAAAACAGAACCCAACCCACCGACCTGCAACACGCATAATGCTAAATGTTGTATCATCTCATATCTCATAGTGCCATGACCACCACACCCTCTCTCCATATGAAAGAATAATGCAAAAGGATAAAGCTAGTTATGGGTTGCAATTCGTGCACTAAAGACATTATAAGCCCAGCTACACATTGACGACAGTCTCTCTCTCTCTCTCTCTCTCTCTCCCCACTGCTTTCTGATATCCTTATCCCCCATCCTCGAAGGTTTGGCAATATTCCTCCTTTATTGGCCCAAAAATAAGAAAGTGTTAGAGCTCCACATACTGGATCAGATCTTATTAGTCTTTCAGTGTAATTCTGTGAATTATGGACACCCAACCGCAAAGAAACTCCAGAGAAAAAGTTGTGGACAAGCCACGAGAAGGGAAGTTAAAACAAGAGGGAAAAGAAGGCCTACAGGCACAGCAACAGGCACTGCCAACATCCCCTGCCTCGCCACCTTCAGCTTCCTCCTCTCCTTCTCATGAATTCTCCTTCACAATCTCTCTCCACTCTTCCTCGGCACCAGTACCTGATAAGGCCAAAACCCCTCCTAATTCTTTTGCTATTGATTTGTCTCCGGCGGATGACATTTTCTTCCATGGCCACCTGCTTCCTCTCCATCTCCTCTCACACTTTCCTGTATCCCCTCGCTCGTCCGTAAATTCCTTTGACAGCTTTACCCTCCCTATGAAGGAATTATTAGATGATCAAAGACCCAACAAAAGTGGCAACAACTATTGCAGCACCAGCAACGGAAATAGCAATAGCGGTAGCGGTAGCAACCACGTCAACAACAGCAATAACTGCAGTCACCATCAAAGCAATAACTATAGCGATACAAAGGGAAGGAGCAAGCCCAAGTCTTTCTCTTTATTCGGTTGGCGAAAAGGGTGTGAAGTTAAAGAGAAGGAGGAAGACAAGGATAAGCACAAAAAAAACCAAAGGTTCGACATGAGTCAGGTGCTGAAGAGGTATGCCAAAATGGTTAGGCCACTGATGTTCTTCAAAGGAAGGAAAGAAAATCTCCAATCCCACAGGCAACCTTATGCATTTTCAGGTAATTTAAGTTGGAGAAACAAACAGGAGTTGCGAGGAAGGAGAGGAGAATACTCAGCACCGGCATCGATGAGGACATCTCCCTCGAACAGCGGCCTCCTTCTTGCAACTACAACTCTTCCTTCTTCTACTAGTGATAGTACCATGGAAGAGTTGCAGGCTGCTATTCAAGCAGCAATTGCTCATTGCAAGAACTCAATTGCTACAGAAGAAAAGATCAAATGTTAAATGTTATATAACTTATATTGGACTTCCAGTTTTCCCCTCATTCAACTTCTATCACTATTCTGTATACCTGTGTATAAATCAAGGTGATACATATAGAGAGAGAGCTTTGAAATCTTAACTAATTAAGATCACAAGATTCAAGAATCGAGTTTCATGCTTTCTTGTCCTTCAGCTGGCTTGGTATCAAGTATTGGGGTCCCTAAATTTTGCAACAAGAAAGGAAGTTCGTTCTTTATGCATATGTTCGTTCTATACAGAGGAGATATCCATAATCACAAGTTAGTTTTTTTTTTCTTTTTTCTTTGATACTGCTTTTCAACAAGTATAGCAATTCGACGAGCCTATATGTTAGCAAAGCTCATCGTATGATATCCATAATCACAAGTTAGTTTTTTTTTTTCCTTTGATACTCCTTTTCAACAAGTATAGCAATTCAGCCTATATGTTAGCAAAGCTCATCGTATCATATCATCACCGACTATTTGACAAATGATTCTAGCTTGTTTCTTAGCCATATTTATGCTCAGAATATAATTTAATGCAACTCAACCAAGTCTTGATCATTTCTAATTAATTGGTGTCGGCTACATGGCAATTTATGTAGACTATACCCACTACTAGGCTATAGATTTGCTGTAATTTTCATAACACGTCCCAAAAAAATCCTAGGATACATTTTGATTACTGTCTCTTGAAATAGAAGACATAAATATATTTGGTTAAAAAAATAAAAACAAACGTAAAAATAAATTTACATTTAATGTGATAATTTTAGTACAAATTTTTATCCATTTTTTTAAAAAAAGAGTGTAGAGAAGACATGACTGTCTGTCTTTTCTATACCAGACAATAACTATACATGTATGTAGCTAGTATTTTCTCATTATCATGAGGGTATTGCTGGCCTAAGCAAACCAATGGCGGCAAGCTGGTAGTGCGTGGTCGTCTCACGACATGTATATTTTCCATGTGAATTAATTATACCTAGCCATTCCGGAAAGAACCTAATTAATGGATCTAGTAGGATAACAAATTAATTAGCATCACCCAAAGAAGCAAGCAGGTCCATCACCAACTTGTTATTACAGGAACCTAAAATGCAGATGGAAATTACAGATATCTCTGCCCTACTAATTATTATAACCCCATGATTATGTTATGATAAAATCATGACATTAGTACCAATTCCACAAGTGGATGCATATCCAGTAAAGAAAAGCTGAAAAGGGCGCAACAAAAGTCTCCAATCCCACAGGAAAAAGGCAGCAATGAAACAATAGGCAAGACCCGAATTTGGCCATAATTCAGAGTGGTAGGTGTTGTGACAAGAGAGATGGCATCATTGGGGCTCGAAGACTGAAGACTGTGGGTCTCGAGAGTCCATGGTTTCAGAATTCAAGATAAAGGGAGTACCAAGTACAGCAATAATACCATAACAATAATGTTGGGAGGCTCTTGGCCAAGATTGGCACGTCAAAGGTAATTCCAATTAAAAATCACCAGAAACTATGAGGTCGATGATACGTTGCAATGATGTAGGCAATTGACTGATCAGGTGTTAGCTTTGCTTCATGAGAAGCATCTTTATGATTATTATATCTGTTATCCAAAAGAATCAGCCCCACTCACATGAAAGCTCCATCATGCCTTTTAATCATAATTCTAAAGGCTAAAGCTACGAAAAGAGGGGGGGAAAGGAACAGCATGAACACGTTGAACCAGTGAGAAGATATCCAATGGGAGTGTGTACTGTGTAATGTGCGTCTATGCGCACGAATGGATGCGCTCATAAATTTAACTATCGAAACTCGAAAGGCGAACCCATAGATTGACTCAGTTTGATGACCACGACCATAAAAAAACTGAGAATCTCGCGTTTCCCTTTTAAACCCCACCAAGGAAACCCCACATAAAGGGCAATGGCTGTTGAGCTCAAGGAGAAACTCTCATGATTAAAACTGATAAGCAACAGAGGCAGTCACATGATTTTGCTCAAAAGTGTTGTTGCCTGCAAAAGAAGACGAGCTCTTTTTCTAAAGTGATAAGTCTAGAAAAGAAGAGCTGGCAATGAGCACCATATCATAGATGCATTCAGCAGTCTTCGGATTCAAAAATCTTTCTTAAACTTTTCAAAAAGAAAGGCTTGAATCTCTTATAGTGGTCTTAAAATCCAAAGTTGCGCGCACTTCTACAACCTTGGGCTGAGACAAGATTCATTTGTAAAACAGTTTGGACACTTTAAGGATTTTTTTTACCACAAGACTCACTTTATTGTTCGAAAGCCACAATCGGCAACAAAGTTGCTTCAATAAAATCTTCTTAATTTTATTTTTTTTTTCAAATATCCCGTCAGGATATGCATGAATTTGGTAGTTTCAGATCACTAAATTAATACTTCAACCCGTAAAATCCCTTCGCTAGATTGAATGTTGGCAACAATTGCATTTGTGGATGATTGAAAAAAATATATATACACGCAATACTTGAAACAATAAAAAGAATTTTATTACATCATTATAATTACAAGAAAAGAAATATATTCTCTAGGATAGCTTTGGATTTCCTACTTTCTTGATATATAAAACATAGAGACAGTTGAGATTAAAAAAACACGACTCTGTGTACTTTACAAAAGTATAAAAATCTACTATAAAACTTTTTAAATATATATTTATCTCATGTTTTTATCTTTTCAACTATATATGTTTCTATCTCTGGTAAATTCATATCTTTTTATGAGATAGTAACTAAATAAAAATTAAAAATACACAATTAATTTTTATTTTAAAACTTGAATCAGTTTTTGAAATTAAGACTCAATTATATAAGATTTAGATTGGTCCCCCAGCTTGAAAAAAAGAATTATTCCAGTTAAAAACTCTAGATGAATCGTTGAGTTGGCCAGCATCTAGCTATTAACTTGTTAATTTTTAAATTATTTTTATCAAAATATCATCGTTTGAATATCTTTAAAAAATAAAATAAAATAAAATTAGGATGTGACACGGGGTCGGGTTTAATGGTTACTGCTGCTTAGCCTATAAAGTATATGGCCCGTTAATTAGCTAACTTGCTAGCCCAATGGGTATACGACGTGAAAAAGACCCTGGCAGTGAGCTTCCCAGGGAGCAATACCTTCTAATTCTATAGCCATTCTCTGTTTTCTTTTTCTTTCTTTTTGGATTTTAGTTTGCTTTATAAGATTTGATAAATGAACAAAGGACTAAAACTAATCTATGTTTGTTTATATCGTTTCAACGCTACTACAATAAACTCTATATATGACAATGGGATTGGAGTTTGATTAGGGGTCTCTACTCTAATTTTTCCAAGATATTTATTAGACCCACCTTGCCGGAGTGAGCTGATTCCAGAAACTCGTGACCAGGAGTTTTTTTTTTTTTAATTTCAATTTCAACAGGAAAGTTATTGATTTTGTTAAATTTAATGTACCTGCCAGTTAACTTACAGGTCGGTCAAACCCAGTCTAAATCTGGCCTAAGTCAACACCATGTGAATATTATTTTAATAAATAAAAAAATTATTCTAGTGGGAACCAAACTCTGTTATGGGTCAAGCCTCTAGCTGGGTTTGACAACCGGTTCATGGGGTGGAACTTGGACCGTATCTAGAAATACTATTATTAGCTGGATCCTTGACAACGGGCCTGTTAAATTTGGTGACATGTTAGCTAGCCCCTCGGCTTAAGTGAATCAAGCCTGGCTGAAGCACAGCCATTCTTAAGCCCAATTTATCTGGACATTGGCCGAGGTTGTCCTTGTTCAGTAGTGCCGATTCCATTTTTCTTTTTCTTTTTCTGAAAAAAAAATTAGTTTAGGGGGTGCTTTTTTTTAGTGAATTATAAATTAGTTTTTCTAGTTTTACAAAAAGATTTAAATAATATATCTAGTTTTTAAAATTATTTAATTAATTCCTTGACTAGTATTATTTAGTTTAATATTAATTTGGTTTTAAAAAGTGTATTTTTCTTGAAAATATTTTTGTATTATCTGTTTTTTCTTTAATTACATTTCTTAAAAAACAAGATAAATTGAAAATAAAAGCATGAAATGGATAAAAAGAATTAATGAATTAGTTTTTTGAAATTAGAGGGGTTATTCAGTTTATTTTACAAACTAGAAAGACTAATTATTTGATTTACTCTTTTTTTTTAACAGTTGCAACATCTATTTTTTAAAAAAATAAAAAATTAAATTTTATTCATGAATGTTTAGGAATACGGTATAATTTATATTTTTTAAAAATTTAAAATTTAAAATTTTTTAAAATTATTTTAATTTAATGATATTAAAAATAATTTAAAAAAAATAAAAACATTTTCTTCTCGTATATTTCTAAATAAAACATTATCACGATAATAAATATACAGAGTAAACTAAAAAAAGTAAAAAACTCGCTTATTAATTACAGTGGTACTTGCCTAGAATTTTACAATCACATCAATGGAGAGTTTGAATCTAGGCTATGTTCTTCCTCTTGGCAGAGTTTATAGGCAGGTTTACCGATAAGATACTGTTTGGAACTGCATTTTAAAAATATTTTTAAAAAAATTTAAATTTTTTTTCTAGCTTTGAATTAATATGTTTTTGATATTTTTAAATCATTTTAATACGCTAATTTCAAAATAATTTTTAAAAAATAAAAAAATATTATTGATATACTTTTTTAAATAAAAAATATTTTGAAAAGCAACAACAACCAGATTTCCAAACACGCTTTAAATTGTTGAAAACTAAATACCAAATACAACAACCAGATTTCCAAACACGTTTTAAATTGTTGAAAACTAAATACCAAATGCCATAGTTTTCGATTCCTTTCCGCGGGTCTGGTAAAAAAAATTTGTGAAAAAAAAAAATCAATATCATGAGGATTTTTTATATATTATTTCTAGTCTCAGTTAAGTGGGCCAGACTTAAAACATTCTTATCGATTCTCTGCCTAGCCTGAAATTCAAAGTGTTTGGGCATTTGTTATGTTTTTTTCCTACAATTGAAGATTAATTATAGTACAACAATATATATTATCTTCAATAATATATATATAGAGAGAGTTAAGCATGAGTACAACAATATTTTAAGGCGCGGGTATATTTTT